TTCTACTCTGTTCAGCACTAGTGAAGCCTTTACCTAATAAGGGTCCCATTTTGGATATGGCAGCTGAAGAAAGATGTAGAGGAACTGGAAAGGGTTCAGTGGAGAAGGATAAAGATGGTTAGAGGTCTTACAAGGGAAGATTGGAAGAACTGGGACTATTTGGTCTGGAGAAGAGAAAGACAGGGGGTGGGATAGAGGGCAGGGTTTAAATCCAATATTTAAATACAAAAAGGATTGCAACAAAGAGGACAGTTATGCTGTGTACAGGGAAAGAAGTAATGCCTTCAACTGCAGGAAGGGAAATTTTAATTGGATATGAGGAAAAACTTTTTAACCCTGAGAGTGGTTAAGTATTGGAGCAGACTACCAAGAGAGGTTGTAGATTCTCCATCCTTGGAAGTTTTTAAATGAAGGCTAAACAAATACTTAGCAAGGATGGTGTTGCCAGGAATAATCCTGCCTTGAGCAGTGGGTGAATTAGATGATCTCCTGGGATCCCTTCTGGTCCCATCTTCCTATGGTTCTATATGCATTATTTATACTTATCAAATGTGCAAATCATAAGCTTTGAATGCTTGCACAAAAAGGAAGACATATGATTGCATCACAAGAAGTTAAAAATTGTCATAATGCCAGAAAATTAGACTGTAAGATTATTAGGGCAAGGGCTATCTTACCTGTGTGTGTGTGTGTGTGTGTGTGTGTGTGTGTGTGTAGATAATCTAATTAGAACATGAACCTAATTAGGGCCTCTGAGGTATATTGTAATACAAATAATAAAAAAGCAATAATAGGCAGTCCTCAGCCAGAGACTGCAAAATCCTGCTCAGCACAAACTCTTCTCTCAAGAGGGGCCTTTGAAAATGAACAAACACTGCAAAATGCTATGAAAGTAATAAAATCTAAACTCAAGTAAATCAAGGGGAAAGTTCTGGGATGAAATTCTTGCCTAATTGATGTCAACAGCACAATTCCCACTGACTTCAGTGAAAACAAGATTCTTTTGTTCTGCTGGTCTCCTGCACATGGAGAATATCTACACATGCATATTAATGCAATGCAATAAACCCTGGTGCAGTTTGCACCGGAGTTTATTGCTCCTGGGTGCAGCATTTAAACGTGCTCAGGACCACAGCATGTTGAGCTGGGGCAGCACAGCCCTGGCTGGCAGGAGGTCCAGGGGGTCAGCCTGCCAGCCCGGGGCTGCTCCTGACTAGCTCAATGAGTCATCCAGCAGAGGGGCTGGATGAGGCATGAGAGTGCTACAGTGTGGGGCTGGCAGCCTCGCACTGTAGCATCCTCCTGCCTGAGCCAGTCCTGCAGGGTCACTTTTTACAAGTATGTTGTGATGGAGTAAATAACTCCACCATAGAATAGTACTTGTGTTGGGCAGTACTATCCTATGGTAGAGTTAATTAGTTTACTCTGGCCTAATAGCACCACTTGTGTAGATAGTGACACTTTACTGTGGAGCTAATTAGGCAAGAGTAAGCATTTCAAGTAGATGCACCCATAGATTCCAAAATTAAAATTAGTAGGAATACTACAGTGTCCTCCCCTCATATTATTAATTAAAAAAAGATTATTTTCAAAAATATTTTTCATGGCAACTCCAGAAGATTAAATGAAACAAGAGGGGCAGAGGCAGTAGAATTAAAACAAAGTTAGGCTATTTTTGATCTAGCATGGCTTTTTCATGAAATAGACATTCCTGTGGAAAAAAGAAATCCATTTTCATTAATAATGTTGAGGTGTGCAACAAGAAACCAAATAAAAATCATTTTAAAACTGAAATATTTAGGGTTTTCCCTAACACTGAAAATAAGAGAAGTTTTAAATGAAAAGCCAAAAAAGATAAATTTGATGAACAATATAGAAAAATGCAGTTTTGTTTCTCAATTCCTACTCCTGCTGCTGTTTTAGAAACAAAGAGAACTCCTTGAACAGGCTTAGAGATGAAGTACAACAGGTTTAAAATACTCATTTTAATTGACTTGTGCTACCTACTTTTACTCTTTGTGGATGGCACATTAATTTAAAAGGGAAGAAGGCATTTGAATCCCTTTGGCAGCTTTGAATATCTCAGCATATATCTGTGCACACACCAATGTGAGCAAGTCATGATTAACATGCAGATAAGAGAAAATCCACCTGGAATCTAATGGAAACAGATTGCTACAAAGCCCATAGGGGTAAGTTAACAAACTATGAAGCAGGTCCCTGCACAGAAACACAAAGTACTGTGAAAACAAGTGTGGTTCATATTAGAAGTCAGTACCCATTGCAACCAAAACAGGAATAGATCTAAACAGCCTCTTACAACATGTTATGCCCTGCAAGCAAGTGTTCGGGAAGCTGCACCTAGGATTGCAGCTAGCGCTGAATCACCATAACCAAGCAAACGGGGTCAGAGTGTGCTTGTGGCAATCAGATAAACATGGGGTACACTTGGAGGAATTCCCCACAAGGAATGGCTGAGAAAGGCACATTTCCATATTGTTTGCTGTTCTCAGGTTTGAGAGTGCTCGTGGCACTAGTTAGTAATTGGCTTTAACAGGGAGGGGGCTTCCCACGCTTGTGCCATCACTACACACTTGCAAAGTTTCAGCATAGGCACTTTGCATGCTCTAACCTGCCTTGTGCAGGACCTGTTGTTCAAGTTCTGAACATCCTTACTCTTTCCTTAGGGGAAGGGAGAAGGAAGGCTGACAAAAAGGCAGCATTTGTTTTAAGCTCCATCTGAGCTCTCTGCTGGTCCCAAGTAAATGTCAGAAAGGGAAGAAGGGAGCCCTGTTAAATTCTTCTTCAAAGTTTCATTTTAATTAGGACATCATTTAAAGAATGATTTATTGGAAACTAGAATTATTATGAACCATGAATGTAGGAAGTGTCACCCTGAACTGTACCTCTGACCTATCTAGTCTTGTAGGCTCTCTCTAATGCTGACCAGCACTGGTCACTTCTCAGGGACATAGGAGTTATGAGGTTCCGAACATATAGAGAACATTTTCTACTCACCCCTCATTAGCTAGTGTTTGGTGAGTCATGAAAGTTCATATTCACTCCAGAACTAATATTTTAGTGTTTAATATTGCTGAATGCTCCTTTTATTCACATAAATACCCAGGCTTTTTTGGAATCTTGCAAAGCTCTCAGCTTCAGGTGGGACCACAACTTCACTGAGCACTGTGAAAGAAGTTTTCCTTTCATTATTTATAAAAAGTTCAATAAACTCTGCTTTATTTGCCACTGTGGTTTAATCTGCTGTTTTTTGGATCCTCCTCCTCCCCCCAGCATCAGCATTATTAATTGGTCACTAATGAATAATTCATCATTGCATGCATTCTGCTTGAAGTGACGACTGGGGATACAGGCGAACTTGGACGCACTCTCAAGGTGGGCTGACCAAAACCTGATGGCCTTCAATATAGAGAAGTGTAAGGTGCTGCACCTTGGTAGGAAGAACCTTCAATATACTTACAGGCTTGGCAGTGCTATGCTCACTAGCACCATGACTGAAAGGGACTTGGGGGTCTTGACTGACCACAAGATGAATATGAGCCACCAACGCGATGCTGTGGCTGGCAAAGCAAACCAAACCCTGGTATGCATCCACCAATGCATCTCAAGCAAAACCAGGGAAGTCATCTTCCCACTTTACTTGGCCCTGGTGAGACCACAGCTTGAGTACTGTGTCCAGTTTTGGGCTCCCCATGTCAGGAAGGATGTGGAAAAGCTTGAGAGAGTCCAGAGGAGAGTCACTCATATGATCCAAGGTACGGAGGGAAGGCAGTACGAGGAGAGGCTGAGGGACTTGGGACTCTTCAGTCTGGAGAAGAGAAGGCTCAGGGGGGACTTGGTGGCAGCCTACAATTATATAAGAGGGGTACATCAGGACCTGGGAGAGCACCTGATCACCAGGGCTCCCCAAGGGATAACAAGGTCTAATGGCCATAAACTCCAGGAAGGCCAATTTAGACTAGACCTAAGAAGAATGTTCTTCACAGTGTGAGTGTCCAAGGTCCAGAACCAACTCCCCCCAGAGGTGGTGCAAGCACCTACTCTGGACTCCTTCAAAAAACAAGTGGATGTTTTTTCTTGCTGGGGTCATTTGATCCCAGCTGACTTCCTGCCTATGGTGGTGGGGCTGGACCCAATGATCTTATGGGGTCCCTTCCAGTCCCTAATATCTATGAAATCTATGAAATCTATAAACCAGTCTACAATATTCCCTTTCAATGATGCTATTATCCTTTTGCTCTTGTACTGTGACAAATGGTTCAGAGCACTGCCAAACCTTTCTTTCCTATCACAGTGACTTAGGATGCATGTATACCATTCCCAACTTTTATCTTATTCATTTATTCTGTAAGGAGAATTAGTTACATCCACAAATTTCAAGTGGATAAAGTGCCTTAAATTGGAAGTGTAATGTTCTCTACACAAGATATTTGACAACTAAAACAAAACCGGTTACATGCGAGTACAACTTCAGGGACTGTTCTCTTGGGTTTTCTCCCAGATTCACTGAAGTCTCTCTTGCCTTCTAGCAGCCCAGAGAGTGGTAAATTCATGAGTATAACAATTGTTATACTCATGAATCATAACATCAGTATAACTCATAACATCAATAGAACATCAGTATAACAATTGGATATGGGGATTATTGCTATTCTAACAATTCTCAGCATCTCTCATACACAATATTTCAAGAAAGCCCCTTAAAAATTAACATTTAAGGCAAACACCATCCATCATTGGCTCTGATAGAGTTGCATTATGAAATTCCCTCATGAAATGAATTCTTAGATTTCAACCTGGCAAACCATGAAATGCACAACATAGCCATGTCAACATCACAAGCCCAGACAGCTGTCTCCTGAAATGTATGTGGATTGGAAATCTTAGTAGTTGTTATAGCTAGGATAATGATTCATCCTCCCTCTGGGGCTGGGGCTTGCCTCTGCATGTTTTGCAATGCTGTCTGGCTTTATAACAGCATAGCTGCATGCTGTGATTCCCAGCAGATTTCTCAGCAAACTGATGAGTGAGGAGCAGGCTAATTCCTTAAAACAATGGCATTTCTCTTCAGACAGTTTTTCCTGCTGGCTGTGGATCTAATGCTTGCTTCCACTTTTTCATGCTTCCTTTATGCCTTTGCATGCCTCATAATTGCTTTCCTCATCTGCTTTGTTATCTTCCTCTCCTTCCGAGTTGTGAAGAAAATGGAGAGAGACATAAAAGGGAGAGCAATTGTAATTCTAGTTTCCAACAGCTCCATTGGACGGACATTTACCAGGAACCTGGATGAAGCAGGTTTCAAAGTATCTGCCACGTGCTGGCCACCTAAGGAGAAATGGGCCACAGTTGTGAAGGAAGAGTGTTCTCCAAAAATGAATGCGTCGCAGATTCACATGACTGAAGATGAATATCAGAAGACAGTGAAAAACTTCATAGAAAGCCACTTATCTCTGAAAGGTAATGGTTAGGGAAAGCTGGTGGAAATGCATAAGAATGCCTAAGGAATATATTAGAGCACAGAGGGCTGGAGTCTGTTTGGTAGAGATCATTTTAATAGGTTGGGGGGAAAGAAAAAGTGTTGGCTGAGATGCTACCAGTACCCTACTCGGAGGAAATGCATCTGCCTTCCTATTATGCAGGTTTCCAATGAAGGGTGCTGCTGAATCCTCTGCTGCAGAATCAGCTGAGGGCAGGACGCTGTTTCAAGCAGCACTTGGCCACAAGACTGTAACCATCTCTTTCTGTTCTGATCACTGGGGGCTAAATCTGAAAACAATTTGTAGACTTCACCTGGGACTAGATGAGGCAGTGAGCTGTGTTATCTGCAGAGTACACAGTATACCTGTGCTTGGGATTCTGCCAATTTCTTTCTGGGTGCAGTAGAAAAGTAATTCAGGAAGATGATAGGGTGGCAAACATTTTGGGTCCCAATCAAGCTTTAAATGTGAGGATACTAGCAGCAAGGCTTTGAACCAGGGATCCCCAGCTCTGGAACCTGCTTCCTACTGCTGTCTTTTGCAAAGAGTTGAGTCACTGTCCACTGCATCCCCTCATGGCCAGACTTGGCACCCTACTCATTTTAACATCCTGAACATCCTGATGTCTTCTGTCAATGTGGTGTAAAGCCAGGCATCTTCCAGGGGTAATGAATTTAAGACTCAAACCCCACTGTCCAGAGAGCATTCTGCCCAGAGTTAGGCCTCTCCTGAGTCTGGGTTTCACTGGACTGTGGTTCTTTACATCCAGAATCATCATGTCCCCTCCTGTTGCAGTGGAGAAGTTGGGGATCCCAAGGCTGCCCTCTTCTCTGGGTTCCTACCTAGTGTCCCTGTCTTGAGTAGTGAAGGACCATCCCTTTCTTTTCCTTTACTGCTTATGTGGCCTAGGAACCTTCTCTTCTAATCAGTATCCTCATGTTCCTCCTCTTACAGCTTCCCCCAACCCGCTGCTCTGAAGACTCTCCACATAGCATCTCCTTCTTTCTGCCTGGTTGATCACCCTTCATTAACCCTGCTAACCTGAAACCATGTGATGTCCATCACAGTCTGGCAATGTCCATTAATGCAGTTTTTTCTTAATCCCATTCTCTGATCAGTAAGGGACTTTTAAGGAAAGAATGAGGATTTTAGGTTTGTGATTGTGGAGAGGATCCATCTTGAAATAGATGGGCATTGCTCCTGTTGTGCTTGAACGTACCTTGGGGTGAGAGCTTTAAGTAGCACTTCTTTTAAACACACACATATGCAAAATATTTAGAGTTCTGATAGTTAGTTACATACTAACAAACCTTTTGGAAGGAATATTAAACCTCAGGCTTCAGCATTTAAGCAAATCCATCAGAGATCTGAAGAAAACTTCGTTACAACGCACAGATTATCTCACATAGATTATCTCACAGCTGCTCTTTGTCAGTTTTCTACATTTACCTAAGAAACTTCTGGTGTCAGTGACAGGATACCAGACTGAACAGACCCTAGGCCTGATTGGCAAAGGCTAGTGCAATTATCCTAAAATAAATAATTGGAATTACTGAACACTTGCAATTTCCACTGATTTTGACAGAAGTGGAAGTGCTGCACATTGCTCAGCATAACTTCTGGAGCCAAATCTTTGGGTGGGGAAAACCAATTGGTAGTTGCACAACTTCAGTGGACCTATGCTGATCATTTACTATGAATTAGACCCATGAACAATGTTCTTAATGTTTGACCTTCTTTTGATTATTTGATTACGTATACTGATCAAACTCCCCTAGAAGTTTTTTTTCCCCTCAAAGATTTCTTTTCTAAAGTTTCCCTGCTATTTTACAGCTAGGATCTTTAGCATGGCATTCACATTGTGGACATTAAAATTTATTTTCGATGCAGTGACCCAATTACATAGCAGATCAAAGTGTGACATCAGCAAAAAAATTACTTGCACTAACATTCTTTGATATCCTTGCTGAGTTTTTGAGTAGGAAGTTGGGATTTGTTTGATGGGTTTGATTTAATATTTTTGGCATCGGTTGGTGAAATGTAGACTCCTGTCATCAACTGGCTGAAAGGGAATTCACACTGTTAGATACACACAAAAATTCAGCCTGATTGACAATCTCTGCTAAAGAGAGGACCTGGAAAATAGCAGGGGAGGGACATTTGCATCTCTGTGAAAAGACACATTGTGTGCATTTTTCTTTAGAATTATTTTTTTACTGAATTTGATATGATATATAAGTTTTCACTTTTGGTTTTCAATGGCTGATTGTCTTTCTAAAGTGCTGGTCCTTGTCTGCATAGGAAAGTTTGTTACATTAAAATGATACTGGTATAAACTCCCATGTTGAGGCTCTTGTTTCTTTTATTTAGTATAAAGATAACCCTTCTTAGTTAGGTTAAACTCCTTTACAACTGGCATAAGCTAAACAGAACATCCCTCCTACATACATACTTTTAAAGGAATAATAGTGTTCGCATGAGAGCCTATAATGACTTATACTCTCAGTATAACATTTCTCTGTAGGCAAATCTTTACACCTGAATTACCACTTTTTCTAAACTACCAGAGCTCTTTATTTTGCTCTGGTAGTACAAAGTAAAACTTTGAAGACCCTATTTACTGCCACTCAGATGCAGAAAGACTTTAGCATGACTGAGAATCAGGCCATCATCATCTGTTATAAAAACCACAGAAATTCTTCCATGCTGTTTAGAATTAATCATAATCCTTGATGATCTGTGCAGGAGACTTCATAGGTTTACAAACTCTATCACAGACTATGCACACATTACAATCAAAGCTGATGAGGAAGTTTTTGACCAATCATTTTTTTTTTCATTTGTAAATGCCAGGGCATCAAAATGGAAACTTTGCAAAACAGGTTCTATTTCAGTGAGTCTCCTGAATAAAAGCATGTTTGAAAACCAAATTCTGAAATTTCCAAAAGATTCCGATTCAACATTTCCAAGTGAAAAGGCTTTTTAAAGTAAAAATGACATTTGTCAAAAAATGTAAGGCATGTACACTAAGAAGCTCAAAATCCAAACCAAACATTGAATGATCAACACAAAATATTATATGAACACAAATTTGATTTTGTTTGTTTTACTTGCTTGCATTTTTTTTAAATGTTGCCTTTTGCCTGCCAAGAAAAATAAATTCTCTTAGGGCAAGCAAACTGTTTCCTATGTACTTCTTTTTGTAAAAAATTGTGTATGATCTCAAAGGTGTTGTTGCAGTTATAATATGCACTGTTGGAATTCAAATGTATATTTTGGGACTGGTGTTATATCACATAGATAAAGGACCCCATCAGTTGTACTTATATTGTATTCATCTGTTATGACTAGTAGGTTTTTTCTGTGTACCCCTAAGAAATGAGGCTTGCTTTCTTGCAAAAGGGTAGCAGCATACGTAGCCTCAAACCCCAATATTAGGGTGTCTTCCCATAGTAGAAAAAGGCCATCGTTATCTACGTAGTTTCTATGGCAGTAGAAAGAATATAAAAAACCAGGTCTAGTTAAGAATGAGCTTGCATATTCCATACGTGCTCCTTGATTCATGGCAGCATGATTCTCCCACTCCCTGCATTACACAGCTGCTGTATTCATCTGTGTCTGCAATATTGCCTCCTCCCCCTGCATTATTCATTTAAAAACAAGGTGGGGTTCTCCAAAGCAGTAGACTGGCTTAAAAATAATAGTTTTAGAAAGAATAATAAATATTGGTTCTTTTGAACCTTTAGCCCATGGAGTCTTTACCACCTGGAAGCATCATTGTGGAGCATGTCCTGCCCATGCCATTGCCTCCCATGCTCCGTGTACCAGATATGTGGCAATGTAGCTACCTTAGAACAGTCCTGAATGTGTGCCAAGTGTGTATACTTGATGCATGAAGCTGAAGAGCAGTGTGAGCATGTCCTTAACACCACGTAGCTGTTATGCTGCCATACTTCCAGGAACTGGCCACATGGAGTAGGAGCTACGTGTGTGGGCCATGCTTCACAGTGGCCTGGAGGTGGCAAAAACCTGTTCTTCGTGTGCACACTAGCCAGGTTTCCAGAGAGCTAGAAGCTCAGGCTTTATTTAAAGAAAAAAGGCAGTTAGCTGAGGCTTTATTTCAGACCATCAACAAGTCATTGAGAGCTGTTAAAGTCATCAGCAATAAACTGGGATTGAGCTGCAGCCTCTTGCTACTTGTTTAACACTGCCCTTTGGCTAGGCTGCCAGAACTACTGTAATTTGTTTTATTACTGTCCATGCTGACTGTGGTGTCAGGCCTTGAGTGGGGGGAGAGTAAAGCAAAAGGAAATCTCAGATTGTTAGGGCTCACTCTGGATAGGGAGCAGAGCCTCCAGACTCAAGAAAGGTAAGCAAGACAACACACTGTTCTCATCTGTTTTTCTGATTAATTTGAATAGCATCCACTGCCATGTCACCTGGGTGTCCTCCTAATTCAGGGGTGGGAATTATATTAGCTGGTGGGCCACTTCATGGGTTTTGGTGAGCTGTTAAGGGCCACACATACAATCTTTCAGAAGATTCATTTAAATGAATTATAGCTAAAGCACAAATCATATACTAAAAATCAAACACCTACTATATTTTAATTTTATTTCAAAAAATCATTTTTGTCCTATGTATTTGAATAGTGTATATTAAGGCAATTGCATAGTAGATCAAAATAAAGTCCTACTCATATACTGTGTGTGTGGAGAGTGTGTGAGGGTGTGTGCGGTGTGTACGGGAGGATGCGTCATATGTGTGTGGGGGAGGGGCTGCCTGTGTGCTCGGTCCTGAGAGCCAGCCGGGGTTGGGTGGAAGAGGGGGAAAGGGAGCACATGCAGTAGAACTCGTCCAGGCATGTGGACTGGGTAGAAGGTGGCTGGGAGCTGGAGCCTGAGCTCCACATGCTGGGGCAGAAACAGCCTGGCTGCAGCTTGCCCCCCACCCCACTCCTCCCATCCCTGAGTGGCTGGG